GTACAAACGTATACGAAATTAGATTTTAAAGTTAAATATAAAACTTACCAATCACGTAATCATATCGATCACGAAACTCCGGACTAACAGCTAATATTAAAGGGAAAAAAAGAATTAATTGAAAGGGTAACATTTCTTATTCCCTCAATTAATGATTTCTGACTAATTTATTATATTATATATTTATCTGTTTTATCAAAATTATCTCGAAAGGTCGACTTTATCATTAGATTGTGGTAAAACCCAATTGAAAGATTTAGTTTTATCGGAATAATTAAGTTAATGCTAAGAAACCGATAGGGTTCTACTCAGTTCAAATTATGTTAATCGTCATATTATATAAAATAAAATTATCATTTTTTCGAGGAATGCTGTTTGTATATAGTAGGAACAACGTATAGGCCTACATATACATATGTTGTCGTTGTTCCTGACAAATTTAACTTTTGGAATACCGGTATATACAGTAATTCACAGCACAAAGTTTATTTATTGATTAAATTAAAATCAAAATCTCATTTAGTTGCCAAGAAATTATATAGTTTGTATCGAAAACTCGTCCTTAATCTTCTCCAGTCTCTGCGAGTAAAATTGGCTGTAGTCGGGTTTAAATGCATTTACTAAAAGTGTTCTCCAGAGTTTAAAAACAGGCATATTTTACGTTTAAATAAGCATCACTTCGGGAATAAAAGAAATATATTCGGGTTACAAACGGATCATTATTTTCGCATAAAGTAATTATTTGTATATTATAATCTACAAACTAAATATTAGAAATTTATATATAAAGACCTAAGCAGAGAATATTTGAATTTCTATGACTTCTACGAAAATCGTATCAACTTTGACGAACAGAAAACACCCATTGTAAAGAACTCGAAAGATTTTGTAATAATTACGCGATAAATATATCTTGGAAGATATTAATAACTAGACTTTATTGTTAACTCTAATCTTGATTCGACCTTCGGAACTTGGTTTATAAATTCGACAGATATAAATGATTCACAGATTTACAGAAAAATGTTTCGTCTTATATCACTTGCATTGATTTCATTCATAAGAACATTTTTCGAGGAGTAAGATTACATTATTAGTGAGTATTATCAATAGAAAAAATTTGTTTTGATACACTTTTAAAATATTAACATTATTTAAAATATTTTTAATAATACTTGCGAAATTATTTTAAAGAAGGAATTTAAAAAGAAAATATTGGATATAACACATTATAATGGAAGCCCGTTTACCCGAATCTTGTTAATCCGGATTATAAAACATAATCGCTATCTCAGAAATTTGACATATAGACATGGGGAAAAAAACATATAAACGCGAAAAAGTCATTGAATTCTTGGTTCATTGTTGTGTTGGCCATCTTGGTTCAAGCGTGCGACGTTACTCCAAAATTCGAAGCGTTTAAATTTTATTGTTGTCATTAAAATACTAAATATATTTATTTACAATATTCAAATAATATTTATACATAATATTAAATTAAACAGTATTTTTTAGAATTAAAATATTCCAACAACGAGTTGCATAACTTTCCGGGCTGTTATGAGTTTTATTTTAAAATTTTTTAATATTATTAAGCATAATAAATAAAATTGTGTGTGGCGCCATCTGTTATGAGATTTTGTTATGAAAAGTTTTCATAATGTTAATTACTGTAAAATGGCAGAAAGCTTAATTTTGAAGGTAGAAATGAGTTTTATATAAAGTGTAAATGTTAATAAAGAATAAAATCAATGCGTCTTACTCTTCTCGAAATATTACACAACGTCCCTTTATTTCCTCATCCTTTCGACGTTTTTGACCATCAAAATTTAATAGCATCAATGTCCCCATATACAAGCGACCGTGCAAAATTTCGTTTCTTAATCTTTACCCCCATCCTGAGATATTAAGCGAAATAAATGTCACACACACACATTATATACATACGTATTCATGAAACTTCTGCCGTTTTCTTCACTTTTTTTGGATTCGGGAGATCTCAAAACGTGGAGATTTTCAAAACTTTGAGGGTCAAATTTGACACAGTTCCAATACTTTCCCTTGTTATGTATACAAAAAAAGTAATATTGAAAAGATTTAACGGTTAATCTTTTCTTTGAGAAACACTGGCACCTCCGTATCTTGGCGCCCATAGGCCATTGCCTATGGTAAAATATAACCTGAAGGCAGCCACTCCTCACCTGGAAAATCACTCATATGCTACGTTGATTTATCTCGTCACACCAAACTAATTATCCATATTCTAGTTTTTTTTTGGCATCATTTTTCATACCTTACGTTGATTTTATTACGCAAAATTGGCATCAATTGTAGTAAACTAGTGTTTTATATCGAAAATATCGAATCTAACTCAATATTACTTGTTATTATTCTGTAAACATTTTCCAACAGAATATAAATTTCTTGCGAGATTGAATTGTAAAAAATGTTTATTATAATTTTTGGCTTCAATTTTCTTTTNACTATTTATTTTGTTGTTATAAAAAAAATTTATATAAAAAAAGTCACAAAATAGAGGGTAATATGGAATAGGTGGTTTAAACCATTGAAAAACTAATTAGACTTCATAAAACATAGTTATTTTTAACTATAAAAACCATATTTTTAAGATTATGTGCATGTCATTCCTGCTTCGAGTCTATTTACAAAAGTTACAGATATAATTTTCTTTCTCTGCTCCGGTACAATCAAGGTGAGCCCACAGAGAACAGCTGAAGCATTGAATCCAAATTTTCCCTCGTTCGTCTTCGGAGAATTTTCCGTTACAGAAGATGCATTCAGCGTCTTCGTTTTCTGGTTCTTTAGTTGATGGAACGAAGTCCATTACAGATGATACATCAGAATGGAACGATTCGTCGCTGCTAACACTGGAGTCATCTCTACTAGATTCAGGAGGTCGGTCTAAGTTTAATTTCTTAACAGGTAGTCTTTGAATATTCGGTTTCTTTTGTAATTTTGAAGCTTCTGGTTCCTTCTTTTTGTCCTTTTCTTTCAGTTTATCCATTTATCCTAGTATTCCATAATACGCCACTTTGGAAAATGAACCTGTAAACTGATGGACAAAACATTGTCGGCCAAAAAACGATTACAGTATAACAAACTACAATTCTTTTAGTGTACATTATGCTTAACATCAATGTTCGAGTCACATGTTTACTAGTAGGTTAAAACGTTTGAAAACTTGCCTGCAAAAACTCTTGAAAATTACAAAACACTTTGTTCTGTAGCGAGTAGTATGACGATAACAAGCGGTCAACTCTCACTGCATTGTGGGAGTCTTTCTTGAGTAGTTCGTAGTATTCCCACGTAATAGCAGCAACAAACAGAGCCGAAACCTCGGTATTCCATATTTTCCGACTATTCCATAATACCCTCCTCTATAGCCTATATAATAGGCGATTGTTAAAAAAAAAATGACTCCCCAAGATTTATACATTTTTGGACTTTGAGCGCTTTAAAACGCCGAGAAATGCAAAAAATTCGGGTCTTTCTGTATATATATTTGTATTTGTATGTTTGAAAGTACGATTTTGTACACCCAGTTTTTGAAGCTTAATAACTCCTCTGTCTTTTGTCAAAATTTTCTGAAAGTTTGCAGAGAGGTATGTGTATTAGGGTCATTGACGTTATTAAATTTTGATGATTAAAGGTCAACCAGGTGAGGAGATAAAGAAGGTCGTATCTCGTATCTCGAGTAGAGCCGGATTTAATAATGATTTTACTCGTTATTAGCGTTTAAATTTTTTTTTATAAAACCAATCCCTACCCTCAAAATTAAGCATTTTGCCATTTTATAATAGTNATCCACCTTTTAGAAATTGAAGAATCACAATATAAATACTGTACATTAATCTACAATTTAAAGTGCAACATTAAACAAAACTTAACATTAACTTTGTTTAATTTACATAGAGAATAAGAATCAGTAAAATTACACACAGTAAACTCAACACTGTAGATCTTTTATGAAGTTCTAAATAGGATCATTGTACTTTTTTCAGTCGGAGCAGGATCAGCAGGAGCCGTAGTGGCAAACAGACTGTCAAAAGATGCTAATATACACGTGTTATTATTAGAGGCAGGATCTAATCCTAGTCTTATCGCTGAAATGGCAGCATTTCCTGCAGAATTACAGCAAACAAAATATGATTGGGAATTTAAAACAGTTCCTCAGAAATTGTCTTGTTGGGGACTTAAAGATCAAGTATTGTTTTTTTTTTTTCCTCCCTAAATAAAAATCTTAATAAATTTTATTATTTCTAAAACAATTGTAATAATTTTTTTTTACAATAGCGTAGCTGCTGGCCTCGTGGTAAAGTTCTGGGAGGAAGCAGTATTCTTAACTACATGATATACGTAAGAGGAAATAAAAGAGATTTTGACGAATGGGCTAAAGATGGTGCGACAGGATGGAGTTATGATGATGTTTTACCTTATTTCAAAAAATCCGAAGATAATCGAATCCCCGAAATTAATCAAAATGGTACAAAATGTTATGTTCTATATTAAATATAAAAGGGATAGATCTATCTATAATTATAAATCGATTTATTTAGGTTATCACGGTATAGGAGGAGAACTAACAATAGAAAAAGGACCCGACAACCCTTTTAAAAGAGCATTTTTGAAAGCAGGGAAAGAACTTGGATACGATATAGGAGATTACAACGGTGAATTTCAGAAAGGTTATAAAGCAAATTTTTATTAATTTTTTATTAATTTAATACCCACATATTCTATGTCTTATATCAATATATTATATAAATTTAAAATGATAATTTCTTTTTTAGTATTTTCGGAAGTGCATGGAACATTAAAAGATGGAACTCGATGTAGTACAAAAAAAGCATTTTTAGATCCAATTAGAGGAAGAAGAAATTTAGATATTCTTACATCAGCTTTCGTAAGAAAGGTATCTTAAATTAATGCTATTTTTACTAAAGAAACATTCTACATATTTCATTTGTTTAAAGAAAAATAGGGAAAGGGACCCGAATGTCTATAACACTTCTTAATACCATTATGAACAAATGCCTTTACATTTGTTCGTAGTAAATGATAACTGGAAGATTTCTTACTTAATTTACTTAATTATTGCATTCTAAGATGCTTGAATATATTTTTGTTTTTAGAGATTGCTCTTACATAATGGTCCTTTCACTGGGGCACAGTCTAAATCTTAGTATACAAAATTTGAATGTAATTAAAAAAATGCATCATAAAATAACTACTTAATTAAATTTTACAGATTAATTTTGATGATGATAAACACGTAAAATCCGTGACTTTTGATTACAAAGATAGAACAGAAACAGTTTCAGTTCGTAGNTTAATTTAGAAAATGTACAATCGGTATTATACAATACATCTATCATTTCAGTCTATATATTCAAAATGACAATACGTGTAAACGACTTATTATGATTAATTATTTAATAAAAGTTACCTTAGACGAGGATCGACTACAGTACTTTTGTCGCCGACGTTTCCCATTTTACAAGTGCCGACAGGATGATACGATGTTTGGGTGATAGTCTGGCTAGCACATGCCAAATATTCATCGGAAAACTGCTTATGTTTTTCACAGCCTGGAATTATGGCATCTATCGCTTTGCTACCGATTTTTTTCATTGCGCCAGTTGAAAAGAGATCCAGACAAATTTTTGTGCCTATACATTTCAAATTTTCATTTTTAATTTGATTTTTTTTATGTAAAAAATTTGTTAAATAACAATACTTAAAAACTGTTTCAAATATTTCTATAAAAATTCTAATGATTATACAGTTTATTGCTTAAGTACTGATAACAATACATATACAGCAACACAAACAAACTCGCATATATTCAATGCCATAACAATCTTGTTTTATTTGACCTGTACTAGAAATAACACATGACTCCCTCTAATAAATATAAACGGATCTATTTAAATTAATATCGTAATTAGATTTGATAGTTAATTATAAAAATATACTTAAGATGTCATTAGTGTTGGTTTTTATAGTTTTATAAAAATTAAAATAATAAGTTACCTTCGACCAAAACTTTAAGATCATCGGGATGAGAAAAGTAATTGGGATCAATAATGGGATGATCGTAAGGATTTGCCGAATTTAATCGAACTTCTCCTTTGCTTTTAGGTCTTTGTAGAAGAGGTGAACACGTGATTGTATGATTATTAACGTAAGGGAGAATGTATTCTTTCAGTACCTGTAATTAAAAATTACAATCACATTTAAATAAATCACAAATAATCGATGAAACGTTTGATGTATTAGCCTAAATCTTAAAACATTTACACAAATACTAGTATGTTTACTAATTATAATGGTTACCGAAACAAGAAATATTCATTGCAACTCATTCGATAAGACAAGCCAAGTCAGTGTGTCATATAGGAATTTTATACGATACCTATATGAAGTTATTTAGGATACTTATAAAGTGTTTTATTGGAGAAATTAATCAGATAGAAATAATTTATTAATTATAATAAACCGAATTTTTATACAGTAATATTTAGGAAACTTCAGAAGGTTGAAAAAATTGAAATCTTGTCTTAAATAAGTCGAGAGTTGGAAAAAATGATCTTTGGATTATTGAGGGATTTATTTTAACGGCACGAGGTCAATACAGTAATTAAAAACAATGTTGGAAAAGAATAAGACGTTAATTCAATACAAAATATTGTCAGGATTTTTAAAATTCAGTCGTATGTTAATCAAGTGGTTAGCGTGTATACGTGGAGGACATTTCAACAGTTTTTGTAAAATATAGAATAACTTCAAAAAATTCATACGCTTTTATAAAAAAAAATTTATGTAAATAAATGCATAATTAATTAATTTTCTGTTTATTCGAAATAAAAATTTGCTAGAATATTTGTTAAGATTTTGATGCAACTCTGATTTTTATCTCAAAGATACACGAACACTTGGACTCTGTTTATGAATAAACAATAACCGTATTCATTTATTAAACGATTAATTTATCTAAATAAAACTAATAAAAGTTTTTTGTAACTTTTATTAGTTTTAAGTGTAAAAATGACTTTTCAAAAAGTGGATTTTAAATACCTGATCTGATAAACCAACAGCATTTTTAAAAGTAGTTCCTCCATCGGAAGCTAAAGAGATTATTCCTAATACCAATTCTATATCTGGCCAATCTTCTATTTTATTATATTTTGTATTCACAAAGCCAACAATATCGTATCCTGCTAAAGTACTTAATATTCCTGTAAAAGTAAATAATATTTTACTTACACCTTATCATTTACTATTTACAGTATTTCTATTTTGAAATAGATAAATTATTGTATTATTTTCATAAATAAATAATTAATATATTTAAATAATTTAATCTCCTGTAAAAATTTTATTTTGTAATAATTCTAAATCATCAAAAATTATAAGTATTATAAAATTTGATTGTGTTTTATTTAAATTTTCAGATAAGATCTGGCCATTTAGCCAAGTTATTAATTACTTTCTTGTGTTTTAATAGAAGTTCTCTCTGGGTTTAGTTAATCTTTAATTTTTATTTAAATATTGATATATAATATATGTTATATAGTTTATGAAAATTATTTGCTAAAAACATAAAAAGAATATAAGCTAATGTATTTCAGTTATATATTCTCCACAAATAAGTTTCAATGAGACTTTATATTTAAAAACACATATTTTTTTCTTTACAGATTTTTATGTTAAAATTGGTACTTATATATTAAATCATCATTATTGTTTTTCCTTTTTTTCTAGTTTAAGTTGGTTAATACTAAACTAAAGTATAAATAATTTTTGGTGAAGGTTTGCCAAGGAGTTATGTCTTCAGCCTACCTCTCTGGGAAACCCGGGATCGAAATCTGACAAGTAATTCCAGTAATTTTTAGACCTCACAATCCCTCACAGTCCCTCACAATCCGATCGCCTCTATTGTGGCCTGGGTAAATCTCCGATGAGTACGAATTGAAAGATTCTCTCAGAATCCATAGAGTAGAAAGAGTAAAAAATGGGAAAAACAAAGTTTGTTTAAAGTATCTGATCTGACGAATTTATGGAAAAATCATTTGAAACGTTGAAATTCTTTTTCATTTTGCAGGTATTCATCGTACAATACATAGCGATGGATGAGTTACCTTTGTTTTCTTTTAAATATGATAAAACATCGTCCACTTGTATTCTTGATTTTAAAAGAGTTTCCGGTGATTCTACGGTAGCGATCATGGCTAAGGTGAACACATGATCCTGGAGGTTTTTTCCTACAGGAAGATCGGAAACGACAGGAATCTGAAATTTAATATTAAACTAGTTTATTGTAAACTTTCAATTTAATGTTGAAGAGTTCTAAGTTAGCAATTTTACCCGAAGATTTTCTAGTTCTTCCTTTGGTCCAATACCTGACAACATCAATAACTGAGGAGAATTTATGGCTCCTGCAGACAATATTACTTCTCTACGAACTGAAACGGTTATAGTTTTGCCATGGTAATCGAATGTCACACCAATTGCACGTTTATTATTGTCAAA